ACACCGTGGGACTACCACCAGCATGGACCCCCATCGAGGGCCTCGAGATCCGGGCCATCCGGGCACCGATCCCGCTCCCCGCGGCACCACCCGCCATCGTATAGGGAGGCAACGGTCTCTAGACCGCCGGGGCGGGAAGGAGTGGACTCGGCACCGAGTACGGTGCCGTCCCAATCCCACACTGCGGGTCAGGCCGCAGAGGAAGAACTGGCTGATGCCGGATTGCTGGACAATGAGGATGGGCAGAAGGCCCCGACCTCTTCCTCCTCGCCAGACGAGGCGGTAGCGGGCACACTGGTGTCCGGCCCTACCCCGATCGACCATCGGGCACACCAAGACCTGCTTCGCCGGGTAGCCCTCAATCTGGGCTTGCAAGCAGAGGAGACTGTAGAGCAGGACGACCCCATGGTCGATATCCTGAGCCCAGAGTGCCCTCCAGAGTCGCTCTCCCGATTATACGGACAGTACAGTCCAACTATAAGACGGTGTGGCAAACACCGGCCTCTAGTGCGCCAACGGCAAAAGGCGTAGAGAGGAAATACTTCGCCCCATCTAGAGGGTTTGACTTCTTCTTTCTACACCCGTCCCCCTGTTCGCTGGTGGTCTCGGCGGTCAACGAAAAAGAGCGACATGGCCAGCAAGCTCCTGCCCCCAAGGGCAAGGAAGCTAAGAGATTGGACTTATTCAGGAGGAAAGTCTATTCATCTGGGGGCCTTCAACTGCGGATCGCCAATCAGCAGGCGATTCTAAACAGGCACAATTTTAACTCGTGGGCATCAGTTGCCAAGTTTAAGGCCTCCCTCCCCCCTGACACGCATCAGGAGTTCACGGCTCTGGTGGATGAGGGAATGGCAGTGGCCAAGACCTCATTGCAGGCCGCACTAGACTCAGCCGACGCGGTGGCTAGAACAATTGCGTCGGGGGTCGTGATGAGGCGTTCGGCGTGGTTACAAGCTTCAGGTCTCCTGCCAGAGGTACAGACCACGCTGCAGGACCTCCCATTTGAAGGTTCGGGCTTGTTTTCCGACCAGATGGACGCCAGGCTACATAGCCTTAAAGACTCACGAGCGACCCTTAAGTCGTTGGGTATGCACACTCCAGTAACGCAGCGTAAGCCCTTTAAACCCCAGCCACCGCAAAGGCAATATCACTCTCGCCCTCGACACGAGCCGTATCGCCGTCGAGGCAGGGATAACAGGTGGAGACGTAACAATACGCCTAACCAGGGCCAGAGTCACGGCCAGGGCAAGCTGCAGCCAGGGAACAAACCAGGCTTTTGAAGCTACGCCCGAGGACAGTGTACCATATCCCATACCGGATCCTCCTCTGTTTTTCAAAGACCGGCTGTCCCATTTCTACCGGGCATGGTCGCGCATAACATCGGACCCATGGGTCCTGCGCACAGTGAAGGCA